TACTTACAACTTAAGACGGTTGAAAGGAAGGCGTCAATCGTTGTCCACCTCATTTTCGCCTGTAGTAATAAACAATCGGTTGGGAAATAGAAACAAATGTGATTGGTTCTAAACTATTTCTTAGCTTCCAAAGACAGTGTTCGGACATCTTGTGAAAGCAACATTCGGAGTGAGCTTGATTTTCTCGTCAGGAAAGACTTACAGACTGCGCAATACTGATTACTTCAACGAATTAAAAAGCAGGTCAAAAAGCCTTCGAAAATCGCTTGCTTCTTTTTAAAAATGACACAGGTGCTCAGTTTTTCTATTGAACGATCAAATTTCTTCCACGATAGTTTCTTCTAATATCTCACAATTTCATAAATTATTTACGAAAAAAACATAGCTCAGAACCCCAATCCGTTCTTTATGGGGGGATAATGCGGAAGTCTTATTCGTCTGCTTCTGTTGTTTTTTTGGCTCAAATGTGAAATCAGAGTGATAGAAATGCGATGAACAACGACGGCAGAGAAATGAATAAATCAGTCTGATAAAAAAAGGCAACCTAATTAACTGCACCATCTGCGCACCTTTATTTTAAACTTTAACATACCTCCTCTTTTTTTACCCAAATATAGCCGTTGCTTCATGTTGATCCTATCTCCCTTTCATTCCTCCTCCACCTCCCGCACTCCCCTACACTTAATATTTACGCACATTGGCATTCCCGCTTATCGGTGATTTTTTTTTACCAAATTTCCATTTTTATCTTTAACTCTGGCGATTAACTTTGAGAGATGAGGAGCTGCTTGAAGACCAGACAAGGAGAGTTGACACGCAGCTACACACACAAAATTAGACGGTATTTGTGAGGCTGAAAAGGACCAAAAGAACAGTCAAAAATTAAGTTAGGGTCGTGTTTAACCTCACACCCACCCGATCACTTGCCTGATGTGAAGGTGTCGTTATGACTTTGAGACACGTGCTTTTAAATACACAGAACAAGAGAAAAACATGAAGCATAGTGTTATTCAACCCTTTTCTGTATGTAATAAGCTAGTGCGGGAAAATTTGTGTTTAAAATTGACTGATCCTTAAAAAGCAGACCAAAGAACTGATGATAAAGTTTTCGTGACTTTGACAACGAAGCAAAAAGGAACGACACTATGTGGAGTTACAAATAAAAGTCTGTGCTCAAGGCAAGCATTGTTTTTTTCTCTCTACTTGACAAAAAACCGGGCTTAACTATAGTAAGATTGGTTATTTTGCAGCAACTCATCTCGAAAGAGAAGCCAAGTTTTTAAAGATACCGGACCCATTTCACCTCAAAACGTATTTATAAAGGTCCATTTAAGAAGCAGAATAGCCTAACCAGTCGCAGCACATTATCCCTTCGTTTGATGCAGAAGACTAGCTTCAGTAACAAAAGGGAAAGTGAAAAGGCATTACCCAAAATAAATCAAAGAAAGTAAGTCTTATCGGGATTCTCAAATAGGAGTCCTGATGAAGTCGCTACAACTAAAATCAGATTCCCGTGATATTCCATGATGCCTTTCCACTACTAACCACACTGCCAATTCACATGAAAGGTAGGAAAAGCAGCTAACCTCCTCGCCTTAAGCAGGCTGTGTGTATCCTACAAATCACGTGAATAGGGTAAGAAGTGGCAGCCCGCCTCGGCTGTTGCAAAAGTCGGGAGCATGATTCGTCACCAAGGTGGTGAGGAAGAAGGAAGCGGTGGAGGCAGAGGATAAGAAAAAAAACGAGAGGAGAAATACGAGGAAATGATTCACGCGTGCGCACGCAGACATGCCTACACACTGCCCAGTCAATTAGCGGAGGAGGACTGAAAGCAACGACTTACTGTATCCGGTCGACCACGTGGGTGTATAACTCTGGTCGCCAGGCCGGCATGTGAGAGACAATGATATTGGTGTCAGAGGGCACCCGAGAAAAACGCTCCTCCACCGCCTTGATATCGGGGAGGATAAAACCATCGCAGAGGGGAGAGGCAGAGACAGAGGAGGATAACGAGGAAGAGGATGAAGAACAGGAGGATGAGCCAGGAGGGGATCCAGACTCACAGACACCCGTCTCGGCATTCGCAGAGGATGAACAGCTACCATTACTGGTGTCAGGACTGTGATAAGCCGGCCAGACATTCGATCGCCCTCCAATTACCACCATTTCTCTCGCCTTCACTGGTGCTGCCGTCGCCGGTGTGCCAGAAGTTCCAGTACATGAAGAGAGACATCTTTGTCGCCCAGTCTGTCGATGGCTTTGAGACCAGAACATGGAGGAACGTAACAACCACTGAGGCAGTATAGCCTTCACCTTAGAAGTTACGGTGGATGAAGTGAAGTGTGATTTCCCGTCCTCCGGCCGTAGATCGTCTGCCGAGGTCCAGGGAATCCCATATACCTTGAGACCGAGTATCTCACATGCGGCATCCTCAAGGTAGATGGCAGAAGGAAGGTACTTTTGGATCTGGGCCGCAGAAGGTCGCTCCGGACCAAGGTAGTCCCAGCATCCAGAAACGAAAATTTTATAAGGATGAGGTTGGTGCCGAAAAAACTCGTCTATGGACCGAAGCTTGGATTTCCACATGCAATCTTCAGTGGAAGGGGAGGAGATGGAGGAGGCGGAAGCGGACGACGAAAATCTACCCTCTGTTCGCGACTTCCTGAAGTAGCTCCGACGCAGGAGTGTCCGATGTCGCAAAGGCGGACCGTCTAAGAAGTCCCCCGAATGGATTAGTATGTGGCCATTGGGCAAGCCCCTAGCATAGTGATCACCAACGCCCCGAGTATCGGAGATGTGTACAACGCGGACAATCTGGGCCTTCGGGTGACCTACATTACCGACGACGTAAACATTCAAATTCTGATAGTTGAAGAGGGAGGGAGAGGCCTGGTTATTGCGGGGATAGTTGGTAGGGAGGGAGGAGGAGCAAGAGACAGCTTTCATTGCCGGACTTTCTTTTTGCGGTGCAGAGGCGCATCCACGTCTAAGCAGTGGCTGTCGGTTGCGTTGGTCTCTCGAGACTGCTGCATCGGCTGATCCTGCCTTGGTCGACTCCTTCGGAATTGTTATAGAAGCGACCATCGGGGTATTCGTACGAGAAACATAGGTCATCGGCTATGAGAGTGAATCATCTCGTAGGTAAATTATGAAGAGAGAAGTAGCGTGCTAAGATAGTGTGAAAGGAAAAGCGGGAAAACGATGCAAGCACACGAACCGGCCGCCAGCGTGCACGGACGCATATAAGCCGTGTTACCGCGGCACGACCGGCATTTGCCAGCTGCACATGCGCACGCGATGAGTAGCGCTCCCTTTTGATTGGGTAGGCATGAAAGCCGATTAAGATTGCCAACCAATCAGATGTTAAAACCAATCACGTGAGGCTTGGGCCACGTGATAGACTAGACATTAGCCTATGAGTGTGCAAGCCAGCCTGTGTGCGTGCGTACGTGCAGCCAAGCGAGTGTAAGTGCGTGCACAACCGCGAATGTCGAGCCAGCGATGGCGGAGGCGTTGGCGGCGGCAGCGACCCGTCGCAGCTATTGTGCACGTTGTTGTTGTTGTAGTTGCTAGAACGCTCGTAGATAAAGGCTTATTCACCATACTCTCTAGATGCTGGTGCACACTTTCCCGGCCCAATAATGTGCCATGCTGGCTTTAGGTTTCACGTGACCCATTTCCATCGGGAACCGATAGAGTGGACGTTTGATAGCCTGATCAATTTAATGCAACACTTAGAATTACTTCTTTCTTCGTTGATTACTAACTGCAAGTGCGTGCATTATAAAGTGCTCAACCTCATAAAATTACGTACGGGCAACAAATGCACAAAAGTGGCACTCGATGGGGCATGGCCGGCAATGGGATGGTCTCATTAGATCATTAGTAGGGTATCTACCACCTGTCTGGTTTGGATTTTCGTGTACAAGGCTTGCATTCCTCATTCAGAAATGATCACCTTTTTTCGGCTTTCTGATAAGATGTGGGCCACAATTTTGGCTGAGTATGCCTGATTACTCATTTTTTGAATCCCTTCTGGTGACCCAAAGTTTGACTCTGTCTCATTGCCTTACAAACGATGGATGACATGGGTAAAAGAATGAAAGGGGCATGGGGTTTGAATAGAAACATACTCTTTAGGCTTTACGATGACAATAACGACGAAAGCAGCTCTATTTTCAATCCAGAAGGGTTGGAAGAATAGTAACCGAGGCAGCGCGACCGGAGTTCATTACCACTGTGATGTGGATCGAATCTTTCATTTTTGAAAAATCCTGCGTATTTGTGCGTATACTTATAAGGAATAATAATCTATTTGATAGTCTTGGGTATTTTCTGCAACTGCTCTTTGGTTTCGACCATCAAAATCGTGGAAGAAGCTGGGATGGATAGATAGTTATACACCATGGTCTTCGGACACAAAGGCGAAACCTCCAAATCCAACCGTGACTGCTTATCTCATAGATTTTGGTGGATCCTCCCATTGTAGCATGTTTACGATACAATATGGAGTGATTTCACCGTGTAGTGCTTAAATCATTACCATGGTCTACGCTAAGAGCATGCTAGCTACCACTCGTACGAAAATTCCCCCATCAAAAATACTAAAAGCCTCGCCTTATGGGAAATTTGAAATCCTTCGATCCAGGCTTCACTCCTCTTCTGACTAGTATAGAAAATTTGAGGTTAAGGCAGTTATCAAAACTCGACTTAGTTTCGAAACCGCTTCAGTAGTGTGTCTTAATATTCAACCATTGGCATCAGGTGTCGCTAATCACGACCTCTTTAGCATAGCAATCATCTGATCCATTTGAAAATGAGCCTTCTCTGAAGCATTAGCATAAGACATCAAGCACGTTACGTTGCATTCCTACTGTTTCGCGAAAAATCTCGAAGCAGGATTGTTGATAAATGTACGGAGAAGTCAGGGTAGTAGTAATAAAGGTGGCATAAACAGCATTCGATGTCGAATCACGTGAGGCTGAAAATGCCGGAGTGGTAATATATGCGTAAAACACATCATTCCATTTCAGCGAGATGGAATAACTAATCATTTATTCTTATTCTACAACCATTTCTGTCATCGAAAGCTCCATAGTACTCGACCTTCCTGTTCGGTATCTTCCGGTGACCTGTGGTCGTGATATTTTCTATTAACACCTGACAAGGTATTAGTGATCACTTTTAAATGTCATCTTATATTCGAAGTCCATTATGACTAAATGAGAGCTTTGTTATGCTTCAAACGCATCATACAAAGGATAAGCAGGAGGCATTTCTACACAAATTTTGGGCTAATCTCCTGACTTCCCATTCTCATTACCATTTAAATTCTTCTTGTGTTTTTTAATTTTAAACTACACCTCAGGACTATCAATCTTCCTTAAATGTAAATAAAATCTACCTCCCTGTAAAACACAATCTTGTGCAAGTACGAACAGAACACAGAGCAAGTGATTGAATAAAACAGAGGAAAGCCTTAGCTATCAGTATATAAAGTTTATATTTTCAAATTTGTGCTAAACTAGCGGAAAGACCCATAGTAGACACCAACCTGGCCGCAGGAAGAGAGGATGGCCCACAAGGGGTAGACTTTTGTACACACCTGCGGGAGATTATGAGCAGCCAGCAAAAGGGAAAATTACATTACCTGTGCTGGTCTCCTGCTTCCCAAACAGAAAGTGGCTCAATGTAGACCTGTATGAAAGCTGGCTTTATTTCTTGATTAAAGGACCACTTTCATCATTTCGTGGTTTCAGGGGATCCCAAGTGGTACGTCATGTTGACCAATAATCGATAAGTAGACCTTTTGGCGAACGTCTACTCGCTGTAATGCCAGCTTTGTGTCTTTTGCTCCATTAGATGAGTGGTTAGCCATTAATTAGGGTTTTCCCTACTAGATTTACCCACAAAGATTACATACACATGAGTCGTGAGCCAAAAGTAAATTTTAACGGAGGAGTTTAAACAAGTCTGATGCAACTTCGACATTCCGGCGCGTAAATGAACCCGCTAAACGCAAAACAAAAAGTACAGTTTGGTCCTGCTTGCAGACACTTTTTTTCATGCCAAGTGCAATCACACAGTGGGTCTGTTATTGTCATGCAAGTCATCCCGGCTCGTAATGGACCATTCGCCTAAAGAAACCTCTGGTTTCACACAAAACGCTTTTACGAGACCTCGATTTATTCATCCTTTCTGGAAATTTTAATAGTCCGTTCAATGCTGTCGGATCACTTAGTGAAGTTGAGGAACATTTTTTAGACTGTAGGGTATTGAAAAAGATTAGTATTGGTCTTCAGTATCTAATAATTAGCATTTTATAGGTTATTTATAAGTTGATAAGTTAAAACCACTTATCTGCGTGATTATTTTACAATGCATAGACAATCACACATTTGTGCCCTGCTTCTAAAAACAGTAGCTAAGGTGTCTATAATTGGCAACCTGTGCATACAAGCACATCATTTATGAGTGTACGCAAAGAGGTAATACCAACAGAAGCCCCCCAAGTGATACTACCCAAAAGGTGGCATTTTCCTCTGGCCTTCAGAGGAGTAAAACGCGTCTGTATATGCCTGATATGCAAAAAGGCTACGTGCACAAAAACGATGCCTCCGCACTCACGCACGCATACCGGGTGGCAAATCAAAATCACGTGCAGCGGTGAGTCATCCACTCCACGTGCAAGCGTATGTATTGGCAAGCCAGAAGGCCAAATTGTAATGGCGACGCCTAGGCGGGGGGGGAAAGAATCGCGTGTATGCGTGTACTCGCGCGCCCTTTGAATTGGTGTGCGTGAGAAAAAGTGCAACAAAGAGTACACAATTCCCAGCGGTGAATTGAAGGTGGTGAAATTAGCGTAGTGGGAAGACCAAAAGCAAAGTGATATTAAGGTGATTGGGTGTGGGACATTTTTGCAACTCACTTTAGTGCATTCACTCTTTTTATCGATGGAAATACTAGTTAAGCGCAGTGGGACTTACAGGCCGCTAAGGTGACTCAATCTCACCATGTGTGTGAATTAAATGGATGAATGAATAACTGAAAAGGATAAGAGCACCACACCGCACTGCGATCCAGCTAATTACATTATAAACACTTGCAATGTTTTTTTTCAAGAACAGTCTTAGGCACAGAATAATTTTATGGCCATCTTGAAGGTCATTCCAAAGGTTGGGGTTGGGAAAAGACTCGGCCTTACCATGCTTCGATTGTTTGAAACCACATTCAAAGGGGATTGTATGAAGACTGGATCGTCAGATTTAACAGTCATGGGGTAAGTTTGAAAGTTTAGCGTTGAAAGTCGCTTAAAATGCAATACAAGTCCTACAATTTATTTACATTTGAGTGACGACTGTTCGAACTGCGCATTTAACTGCGCTGGTACTTGAAACCCTTGCAGTTTGAAACACCGCCCACGTCACCCCTGCCACTCGTGTTCCAGTTTTTCTGTTGGTCAATACCTTCAGACACATGTGACCTAGCTAGTCGTCTGGGTGGGCCAGAGAAATGCACTGACCGAAGCTTTGAAGAACCGGCTCTAGTATCTGCTATTAAGCATAGCCCGAGATTGGTGTGATTGCAACAACAGTGACATGTTCGTTTCACCTATGCTACTGACCCCACAAACCTATTCGCTAAGAACAAACCTACCTTTCCTACTCTTGTACCTTGAAACGACTTCATTGATGTCTGGGGCGCGAGATAACATTAATTTGTTTTAATCGGACCTTAAGGGGCAAATCTCACATATCTCATAGCATACGCTGTTATTTAGGTGCTCAACTTAGTTCCAGAAGTTATGAGCAGACTCCATGACAAGTTGATCACGGGAATGCTTAAATACACAAAAAATCGATACTGATTAAATCACTTTACCTCTGACCGAATGAAAAAGGAAATAGTAAAGATCCGAAAAAACTGCTATATATGCAATTAGGGAAGTGGTCGCTCACTCACTCATCCATCCATTGCTTAGACCACTGACTCAATTACCAAAAAATAAAAACAATTCACTAAGAAACTGGAAATAAAGGGAAGTATTGCATGTACACGATATGCACACAAAGTTCCCATGGATAAGGGGGAAAATTAATGAAAAATTTCCCGTT